TTCAGGACTTTCACAATTCGCACAGGTGTGGTCATTTTGAACTTTGGGCAGGTTCACAGGATGTCAAACAATCAATCTGCGAACTTCTCTACAGCTGTGAACTGACTGTCAAAGACAATAGAAAAGAAGTAAGGATCAATTTATGGAGCAAATTACATACAATAATGAGTTTTAAGTTTTAGTGGTCAGTTTTGCCTGTAAAGCAGAAGTCTTTAGATACCTGTCTGACTAGAGACAAAACATAAGGATTCAAAACATCCCAACAAAAGGGCATAACTTCTGAGCATGTCATTCAGCTGTATTACATGACCAGAGCTTTACAAGGCTGTCAGTCAGTGTAACTCCTCCACCTCTTGTATCGACCCAGTACCTACAGCATTTTTATGCTGGTGTTCGACAGAGGTGGAATTTCATCTCCGCGGTGTTTGTTTGGAACTGAGCTCGCAGGACACAGCATCTCATCGCAGTTGGTTTCTGGTAAGCTAACTGGAATAAATTGGCAGAAAATAGCTATGTTGTTTTTTCTGTGACCGTTAAAAGAGGTTCCTGGTGAGTTGCGAGGCACGACTGGGTGTATATAGCACATGTCCCCACCAGCTAACGTTATCTTTCGTTAGCTGATAGCTAGTTTAGCGGTTTAGCTCATGTTAGCTAACAGGCTACAACTGTGGTGTTTTCATTTTATTTTCCCTAGTTGACGTTATGTGCTCATCTGGTTATCGTGAGTGCTCGTTTTGGGTTAAAGTGGAAGTGCCCGGAGCTGCCACCCGTGGTCCTGCACCCCCCGGCCTGACCTCCGGGGCCCTGTACATGTGCTCAAGTGTCTGGGAGAGAAGCGGAGAGGAGCGCGGAGATAAGGCGGGGCGGGCTGACACTGTGTATCCCAGAACAGGTGCTCAAGTGTCGGTGAGACCAGCGGAGAGGAGCGGGGAGGTGAAATAGTGAAGTTTAAGGATGCCTTCGGTATGTTGTTAATGTGATTTTATGGGCAATTTATCAGTCGAGGTCTTCTCCTCTGCAAAGCAAACTGACCCAGTGGCTACAGGTAATAGCGCAGTTTTGAAACCACTGTTTTTCCGAGATGAAGGACTGATTGTTGAGTTGCTGTTAACAGTTAACGGAGTTAATGCCGGATCCCGTTATTTAACCGTTTCAACACTAAATTAAGCAGAGTGACGGACCCAAAGCCTTCAATCTGGCTAAAAGACAGCTGAAATGCTAAAAAAAAATACAGTGGTGAAGTTGGGATTTGTTTCTTGAAGTTACGTGCTCATCATCTTTTCTGTGTCTTGCAGGCTGCCAGGAGAAGCGGACTGGCCATCAGATATTGTTTGTGGAAATTTGAAAAAGTTTCTCAAATTGACTTTTGTCTCTTCATTGTGCACACTTACACACAAAATAGGGTAACAGTCAGCTATTTTTGAATGTTAGCACTGATTTCTCACATTGAATGGTGAAATATTTGTAGTTTGAAAGGTCCGACCTAAATGAATAAAGGTCGTAGTTAACGAAGCATATGAATATTTATGAAGGAGCGCCCACTGAGCGCAGCTTCTTTTATTGATCGTTTGAACGTCGTGTGGTGGTCATTTTCGATTAAAGGCCAACGTCTCGGCGACGTCTTAGCAATGAGCAAACGCTCTTCCTGCTACGTCTTAATGATCTAAACTTGATACATCGGGCCGACGTCGGCCAGATATATGTGTGCTATCTGGGGTAGTACCTGGCAACCCAACCCAAACAGCCCCGCCCGACGTGCTGTGCGTGCTGCGTGTGACTGCGCACATTCAAGCTCATGTCCATGCCCAAGCTTGAGGCGGAACATTACAAACTGAAAATGAATGAAACGGCTCCCAAAAAGAAGAGGTATGCGTCAAAATTTCAGCCTGGTTGGTGCCAGACCTTCCCTTTTCTAGTTGCTAGCCACATCAGCAAGTACCACGCGTTTTGCAAGCTATGTCGGGCCGACTTTAGTGGGGAACACGGCGGGGAAAACGACATTAGTAAACACGCTAACTGCAGCAAACACACACAGGCAGTGGAGGCACAGAGAGGAACTGCTAACATCAGCTCGTTCTTGCTGAGAGGTGTGTCGGAGGCACAAACACACACACACACACACACACCATCTGACGGAGGTGTGGGGTTTAGAGACTTTACTTCACTCTGAATTTGTTGACAGCACTGTTTTGTTGTTGTTTTGTTGTTACTGTTCAACATGTTTGCCTTCTAGTAGACTGTAGACTCCTTCCTGTTCTTTCTGATAAAGGTATTCCTGGCAATGATGGCTCCTCAACACAACACACACTCACTCACACTCACACAATGTTTGCACTTGCACTTAACACACGTTTTGTGATGTACATTGTTGCACATTTCATTGTAACAATGGATATTATTATTGTTTAAGGCTCGTCATTTTGTTTACATACTTGTATTTATTGTATTCATTTGTGGTGTAGGGTTATATGGGCTGTTACGTCCCTCAGCCCGTGTATTCATTATGTGTATATGTGCATTGTGATCTGTATATTTATTATGTGTATGTGTGTATGTCTATGTATATGCATTTAACCTGTATGTTTGGTGGAAAGTCAGACCTCTCTTTCTGTCCGGAGATCGTATGCTTGTTAACAGGTGTGCCGGTGATTCACTCAACAATCGTGACGTCGCTACGGCTGGATTGGCTGAGCAAGGGGCTTGGCCTTCAGTGTCAACAGCTACTGGATAACGAGCGTGACATCACCGCTGCTGGATTGGTTGAGCAAGGGGCTCAGCCTTCATAATGCCGGCCACACGGAAGCCGCGAGCCCACTCTCCTACATGGCAGCAGGGCATTGTATCGTTTCTCTGGTTTTTGTGATTTATAAGTACTTTGTTGTGTGACTAACGTGTGATTATTTAGCTTGCCTTGCTAAATAATTGTTTCTTTTGTTCAGACCAGCGCCTTAGGGCCAACTGAGTCGTTTGTGTATATTGTAAATAGTCACTGTCACATATCATTGTTTGCACGGAGCGTAGGGGTGAGCTGCTATTTTTGTTATACCTGTTTTCTCATGTTTTTCGTTAGCCTAGGGAGTTAGGCCTAGTATTGTATTTTTGTTTCTTTTGTTTTTGTTAGAAATCAGTTATTTTGCTGGTCGGTAGACAGGTTGCTTTTTGTTTGTTGCTTTGGCCTGGGCTCACCCTGATGTCATTTGCTCCATTTTGTGTGCGATATTGTACAGTGTGTTTTTAGAGTGTGTAGCAATAAATTGCTCACCTGTACATTTACTCCTGTGTTCCTGTGTATCCTTATGTTAAGCACCCACACCCCTAGACCGGGGCGTAACTTGACCCATATGAATACAATAAATACAAATATGTAAACAAAATGACTTTTAATGAGCCTTAAATAATAATAATATCCATTGTTACAATGCCCCCGGGTGGGGATTCCAACCATTCAGCCATTCCAACCGTTACCCCAGAAAATCTCCCTCTTTTTCACAGCCTACTGTTGGCAGGTATAGTAAAAATGTTTTTTAAATGTGAATATTCTGGCTGTACTATTGTTGTCGGTGAGATCAGTATGTTATATGAACATTATTCCTTCGTCTCTGTGACATATTAGGATGATTTTACAACTATTTGCTTTAGATTTCTTACATATAGCTCCTTTAAAGAGAATAGCATCCTGGAGGAATTTGAATCAGGCTTTAGAGCACACCACAGCACTGAAACTGCTCTTACTAAAACAATCAAAATAAGGTTTCAGTTCTCGTCCTCTTAGACCTCAGCACAGTATTAGATACTTAACATCTTAATCAGTCGTCTTGAAAAGTTGTTTGATCTTTTTGTGTGTTAAACTGGTTCAAAACATCCATTAAAGGCAGGAAGTTTTACGGCAGATTGGATAGCAGCAGGAGGAGAATGTATTTTCAAATTCTGGTTTTAAATTTGAAATTAGTTTTCAATTCTTTTAAATTTAGTTGTTGTTTAGCTTTAATCCAAACAAACAATAATAAGATCTATTTATATTTAAAAAAGCATTTTGGAAAAAAAAATAAAAGTATTAAGTTTATGATGTCTTTTTGGAAAAAGCTCAAAGGTATCACATACTGTTACACTGCTTACTTCCTTCTGTGAAGGTGCGGCTGAATAAAACAGTGCTGCTCCCTGCAATCTGAAACACAGACAACTGAACATATTGTGAAAACCATTGACATAGGTGTTGAAAAACATAGATATACATGTGTTTGTATGTATTTATATATATATATGTATAAATGTGTTGTCTTCAGACTAAATAACCTGTCTCTTACCACAGGGAAGCACTCGTCTTTGTCTTCAGTAGCCTTGAATGCGGAAACTTGCAACTTCCTGTGGTTACTTCTGTCACATAATCTTTTGTCTACTAGCAGATGAGCTGAACCTAAATACAAATCAAAATTAATTTTTAAAAAAAGGGGCTAAACAACACACAATGCAAGAAGAACAGCTGGTGAAATGATAACACAACAGGCTCTATACAGTAAAGCTAATCCAGGTTATTTAAAGGAAACTGCTAGCTATAGGTGATCATGTTAAAGATTCTAATTCTCCATTGGCACCATTTGCTGCTCACCTTTGTTTTGGGGCTGAATCCAATATTTTCACTAATGTGTAGCCATGAGGAGTTGTTCCTGCTGCTTCATGTCCTTGTTCAATGCTGCTAATGCAGACAATGACTGTGAGTACTTTCACTTTCTCTGGCTTTAAGTCAGTGCTCTCACACTGGTGCCAGTCCTATCATAAGTATAATAATAGAAATATTAAAGTGAAGATAAACAAAAAGGAGAATTTATTTACTGTGGTCAACTATTTATGATGATGCTGGCTCACCAGTGGAGCAAAGCAGGGACTGCTTCATGACCCCACAGTACCTGAGGCCCTGCCCACAATGATGCTACTGCCCAGGTTTAAAGGACAGGATCACATTTTTCAAGTCAGTCTTAAAACAGTACTCATATGAAATAGTTTTTGCTCCTTGTTATCATTCATACTCAAGTTAATATGAGGCTTCAGCGGTCGAAGTAGGGGCCCTATTTTACACCAAGCACAAGGGGTGCACAGCTCACAATTGTCATTTTCGCGGCCAGCGCCCAAGCGGGATTTATAATTGTGTGGCAGACCCTACGCCGTTGCATTAAAGCAACTCTTACCTTTCTTGCATTTCACACAGCACTTAGAAAAAAATTGAACATCCACAACTCCTGCCTCCCTCCAAAGTCCCATCCTCCTCCTGCAACTCCACCTCCCTCCGAAGGCCTACTCCCCCCTCCTCCATTACGTCCTCATTATAGACGTAGCCGTTGGCAAGGTAACGTTAGATACACGGAAGAGGAGAGTGAGTGTAATGTTACAACAAAGACAGTCAAACGCAACGTTTTAAAACTCAACCGGAGTCAGTGATGACTGATGAGTTTTAGAATACGGTTACTGGCTGGGGTAAGGCTCATGTTTTGAGCTCTTGTCTACTCTACTGTACCGTACTGTCAAAGTCCTTACACGCTGGTTTGTTTACTTCCTGGAGGACGCGTCAGAGCTGATGGGACGTCACTCAGGAGGCGTCCCTGTCATTCTGACTTTCTACAGTTGTTTTATCGGCAACTTTGTCATGAAAGGCCTGCCACTTTATTTTTTTTTTTTTTGTTGTGCTGACATTATCATTTATCTGCTTTGTTAAGCAGCAACCTATATCTGGCAGGATACTATTATTCTCATCGTTCACTTACAGTACTGATGGTTTTCTAATGAATAGCAGCTTTTTGTTATGTTTTTCTTTTTTTATTAGCTATGTTTGCTTGATTTTGGCATAACCCTACTTGAGTCTTATTAACAATTGGGGCTTGTAGCCTAATAGTTTTCTTTTGCATCAATTTTTTGTTTTTTTTAATATTATGAACCCAGTCTTTCTTTTTTTCTCTTTATTATGNTTTTTTGTTTTTTTAATATTATGAACCCAATCTTTCTTTTTTTTTTCTCTTTATTATGCAATGTATACTCAAATAAAGGTTATCTTTTTTTTATGGAGAGGAAGGGGTTATCTGACTGTCCTTCACTGTCACTTCAATTCTGGGGGGTGGGTGGGGGTGGGCTCTGGATGGACTTTTTTTCCATCTGTTTCCTTTTTTTGAGGGTGGGCTGTGAGAGCCTGTTTGGTTTGGGACTCGTTTTCTTGGGTTTCAGAAGGGAAAGAAGGCAGGCTGGGTGGGTAGGTGAGGGTGTCTCAGGATTGCGGGATAATGGCTGGGTGGGACAGGACCCAAGGGATAGAATTTTACACTTATTATTTTGCATTCGTGGTGGCTGTTTTTGGTTCATTTTTCTGATATTATTTTTCTGCTCAGTCACCCATGACTAGTGTCTCTCTCTTGTCTTGGAATGGGCGGGGATTTAATATTCCTCATAAATGTACAAGCACTCTGGATTTTTTGCGGTGGATGAAAATAGATGTGGCTCTTCTTCAGGAAACTCATCTACTGGAAAGGGATGTCTCCAGACTTCATGATAAATTTTATCATGTTATTGCTTCCTCCTCAAATTTGAAAAAAAAACAGAGGAGTAGCGATTATTGCTAAACGTAGCTTTCAGTTTACAATTTTAGGCTCTGGGAAGCATTCTGAGGGTAGAGTAGTCTTTATTAAAACTCTAGTAAATGATAAAAAAGTAGCCTTTGTTTCTGTTTATGCCCCTAACTCCTTTGATAGGAGCTTTTTTGATTATCTGACTAAACTTATGTTGAATTTATCTGATTTTGGTCTAATAATAGGAGGTGACTTTAATGCGGTTTGGTTACACTCATTAGATAGAACTGGTGTAGCTGAGGGGGCAAACCAGCGTCTTGCTTCCTCTGCATTAAGGAAATGGGCTTCAGACTGTGCCGTAGTAGATGTCTGGCGGACAGCTAATCCCTCTCTAAGGGAGTTCTCTTGTTTCTCATCACGTCATAGAACTTTTTCCCGTATAGATTACATTTTCATTTCTAAACATTTATTTGAAAAAGCCTCTGATTTCGCTCTTCTTCCTATGTCTCTTTCTGACCATAGGGCTGTATTTGGCAAACTGGCAATCCCTTCGGGCCCC